AAAGGGTGTCCCCGGGCGGTCTCCCATCCCGGCAGTAGCCGGGGCCGCCACTGCTTAGCTCCGCAGGGCGGGACAAAGCCCGAGAGAAACGGCGAGAAACCGAGAGAGAAACGCTTGAATTAAGCAAGCTCCTAAGTGCGGCGTTGCGCTTCGGGAACTTCCCCTTTCTGGCGAGGGACTGGGGCAGACAAGGGGCATCCTGTGCGGGGAGGGTGCCGGCTTGCAGAGCCCCCCGCTCTCCCTCCGAGGGTACGGAAGTCGAGCACCCGTGCGGGGCAGTGACCAGCCCCGCAGAGGGGGCTGTGAGACCACCAAGCGCCCCCAGCGCCCACCGGCTTGTATCCAGGAAGCCGAAGTGCTGAATTGTTGCTGAGTAGCAGCCAGCGTTCCTGCTAAGGAACATCTCATGGCTGCAGACCTGCTTGACCAATGACACTGAATCGCTCCCCATCAGAACAAACACTTGCTGTCTTCTGTCTCTGAATTTCTAGGCACATAAGGGCAGAGTTGTAAGCTTGTCAAGCTGCTATATTTTATAGTTTTGTACAATCAGACATTATGTTGTTGTAAGTTTTGCCAAGTCAATATCCATTCCGATCCCACAACACTAGAAGTAATGTTATGAACTTGCAAAGTTACCATCTTTTGTAATCACGCTGAATTCCAAGTAAAGTTTTGTTTTTTAATCAAGCCTCTTCAGTCATTGTCATGACTGTCAGACACTGCACAGAAAATCAAAAAAGATCACCTCTCCCTTCACCCCTCGAGTGGGAGGGGACATGGAGTGGGCCAGCCGCTTTCTGAGCCACCGCCTGAACCCAAACTGCAGCGGCTGATCACCAGTCTGGAGTCTGTCTGCCTTCAACTTCCCTCGTCCATCTCCAAAGGTATTTCTGTTGTTTGTCTCGACAGCCACTGTGGGAGTGCTCTGTGTGTTCACTATTTCTTTTTGTTTAAGCCTTCAACCCATTCCTGTCAGTGCTGGCTGGCTGTACTTACCGCTACACCTGTCTTGAAAAGGAGGCAATGGACCATCCGTGTCACATCTGCAGCGTGCATCAGGTTGGGATCAGGATGTTTGTGTTGGCTGTAGCCAACCTCCAGAGCTTCCACAAGGGACACCAGGGCAGAAATGGAGATCTGAGGAAAACAGCACAGAATTACAAACAAAAGAATCGCCTTGAATGGCTAGCATTTGGAGGGGAGCATTTTGATCACAGGCCCCAAAGGAGTGGTTTCTACTTCACAAAAAAATTAATACCTGCTCCCCTCACAACCCACTGGAACGAATATGATTCTATGATATATCTCTGCTTTACTACTCACAGTCAGGATTTTCTAAAGAAACAATTCTGACCACTGACCTCCTTCAAACATTCCTCGTAAGTCATGGGCAGTTCCAGAAGAAGTACAGGAGCCAGAGATCATAGAATGAGAACATTTTGGGCTGGAAGGGACTTTTAAAGGTCATCTAGTCCAACTCCTTGTAATAAGCAGGGACATCTTACACTATATCAGGTTGCTCAGAGCCCCGTCAAACCTGACCTTGAATGTTTCCTGGGATGGGGCATCTACAGTGCCTCTGGGAAATCTCTTCCATTCTTTCACCACCCTCCTTGTAAAAAATTTCTTGCTTATACCCAGGGCAAACCTACCCTCTTTTACTTTAAAACCCTTGCCCTATCACTGTAAGTCCTGCTAGAAAGCCTACACCATTTGTCTTATAAGCCCTCTTAAGTACCAAAAGGCTGCAATTGGATCTCGCTGAAGCCTCCTCTTCTCCAGGCTGAACAACCCCAACTGTCTCAGCCTGTCCTCACAAGAGAGGTGTTCCATCCCTCTGATCATTTTTGTGGCGCTCCTCTGGATCCGCTCCAACAGGTCCATGTCCTTCTTGTGCTAAGGACTCTAGAGCTGGGTGTAGTACTCCAGGTGGGGTCTCATACAAGCGGAGTAGAGGGGCATAATCACCTTCCTCGACCCGCTGGCCACACTTCTTTTTGATGAAGCCGAG